CTGATTATCTCTGATCAGTTTCTTGAGTAGTTTGTCTGAGCTGTCATTATGAAGTTGAAGTTCATCAATCTTGGTATGCAGAGTGTTCATTTCAACAGAGTGCCTCTTGATATGAACTTCCAGCTTCACAACATCATCCTGTCAATACAATCAAAGAAAAGACAAGAAAATCAATAGAAAGCACATTCATCAAGGGACAAAGTAAATGAATTCAGATATACATTTGCCCACACACACACAATATATATATATATATATATATATATATATATATATTAGGAGGGGATGCTGAAAATTCTCACCCAATTGTTTTTCTAAAACCAGAGCAAATATCAGATATCTAAAAGCTTCTTAGGTATAGAATTTTTCAGCATAAGCTTAGAAGTTAACAATGACAAAACTAGAAATATCTTTGCATTTAATTAAGTTTTCAACAAAAGGTATGTGTGTTTATATATATATATATATATATATATATATATATATATTACTTTAAACTTTATTCTTTGGTGCTTAGGTTATTTACAGTGTCAGAGTGCTTAGTATCAGAGATAAAGTATTTGTGCATGTATATATATATATGTATGTATGTATGGGAATGATAAATATACATATACTTGTATTTGCATACAAATATATTTCTTCCTCGGGTGTTATAAATACAGTGTTCAATAATATGTAACAGAGCTATAAGTATATATTAAATATCCAACATTGATTGCATGACTCGGAGTTTCATGCAGTCTTGGGATCTTCAGGTGCTAAGTATATTCTGACCATTATGAGGTTCATGTTCTCATGGTGATGATTTAAAATTGTGTGATAAGACTTGTTTATTTAATTATTGTTTCCTAAAATATTATAATTAATTATTTATATCATTCAAATTCTTTAGTTTGAAATTATTTAAATTTGAAAGTAAGTGAACAAGTTAGGTATCAAGGAAGATAACTCTCCTTTTTTGAATAAAGTACCATAGTTATAACAATTAAAGTAAACTAGTACTCATGGTGCAAATATAATAATAGGTCAGGACTAATGTGTTGGAGCCAAACCTTATACTTACAAAGGTGAAATTATATATACACACGTAATAAATTAATGGAGTATGGTAATATGAGATTATATGTGTGTATAGATATATAAGAAAAATTTTATTAACAATGGGTTCTAAGAAAATTAATAGTTGTTGTTATATTAATATTTGTAAAATCAATTTTGGAATCTTTTAATTGAGGTCAATCTGTTTGAGTGGGTGCTTGGTCTTATGGATACATGTAGACATCAATTTTGTTCTCGTGTTCAGCAAGTTAGGGTTATTTAAGCATTTAATATAATAAATTTCATTGTATAGTTTAGCTCCCAGTTAATAGTTGGGTGTTTTTTAATTGCCAAACATACTTTACAAATTTTTCTTGTGTTGGGTAGGTTTTGAGATGAAGCAATGACTTGTCTGACAAAACCATCTAGGCAGAAACAGGTCAGGGTTTCTTATATATATATATATATATATATATATATATATGTGTGTGTGTGTGTAAAGGTGCCTCCACAGATTCACAATATCAAAAGTTTAAATTTTTTTAAATAAAAAAAACTTTCTTGAAGCTTTTATTTTAGTTTCAAGCTGATACCTTAAGTTTATTTCCAATAAGCAAAATACTTATTCCATATTTCAAAACTAATTTAAATTGACTGGAAAGAGTTTTCATTTTGAAATTGCTTAACATCGCTGATTTTAGTGCCATTTTTAGCTATTTGTTATCCAAATGTAATTCTCTTTGTTAAAAACCTTTCATAAATAAAATATACTTTACAAAGATTTTCTAAAAGAAGGCATTTCTAAAATAATTTCATTATAAGTGAAATAAGTCCTGAAAGTTTCATTAAAATGTAACAATTATTCGATTTTTGAAATTTCCAAATCAATGTGTTTTTTACTGCAAAGATGATGCTAAATTTGCCTCCCTTGCTGACAAAAAAAAAAAAAATGATTTTTAGCCAAAATTTCAAATGTTCTAAGGATCAAAATATATAATTTAAGAAAAAATCCTTTTGTCTTTCCGCTTAATAATAGCATAAATATTTTGAGGATAAAACTTCGTTTTTATTAAGTTTGAGGCATTTTTTGGAGGTGTACCAAAAAGGGGAAGTATTTAGCAGGCTTGGTATTTTTCCATGTTATTGCCACTAAACTCACTTTAAACTGACCTTGTATCACATCCAGTTGTGATGTGAGCTCCCTGGTGTATGTATGTATATATATATATATATATATACATGCACACATGCACAAGGGGGTACTGAAAAGATTCTGAATTAACAAAGACTTCTCTTCTTATAAGTATCAGATGTTTCAATAGATTTTGGGAAGTGGAGCCAGCCAACAATGTCTCAATAAATGCCCCGTGTGTGTGTGTGTGTGTGTGTACATGCATACATAATGACATCTATATGCCAGTGTGCATTTGCATTTAAGTATGCAATAAAATATGTATAAATGCACCTATATTTGTGAATTTGAAATGAAGAAAATCAGAATATATATATATATATATATAAATATAAAATATATATATATATATATATATATATATATATATATATATATATAAAAAAAAATAAATAAAAGGTACAAGTGGATAGAAATATCTGCATGGACACATATATTGATAAATTATATTTGTATATATGCTATGCATACATATAAATGAAAGAAATTCCAATCTATCCTCACTAAAAGCATTACAAAAAGTGCATTTACTCTAACATTCCCTCTCTATATGTTATTTCCAAAGCAACCAGTACATAACTTTATTGACAGTGCATGACTTAAATATGTTTGATAGATGGCCTCAAAGTCTACATTCATATGCTCTAGCATAGATGTACTCTTACATGGAGACTTAATCTCAAAAGTCAAAGCAATTATATTCTTCCCTTTTATGCTGGCTCGGGCACAAATGAACTGGTGTTGAAAAAGGAAATTAAGGTTTTTCACTCATGTTAATATTGAAGATAGAGAAATACATTTGGGAAAAAATAGCATTGTCCATTGTTGATATTATTTGCAAGTCATAACAACATGATAATTGCACCAAATGCCATAATCCTCACACTATCAGTATAATTGACATGACAAGGACAGTTTTGGCAAAAGATTTATATGTTTATATTAAATTAATTTATTTAAAATGGTAAATATTTATGAAGCTTTTGAAAAGTACAATTTTTAATCTTGTCTGTTTTAACTAATATCAGTATTTGGGGACTATTAAAATATCTATATATTAATACCAGAATTTCATCCTCCAAAAGAAAAACAAAATCAAATAAAGCCTTGACTCCTTGAAAAGATCAAAGGAGTAAAAGAGTAATAAAATCAAAATAGCAATTAGCTCTGTCTTTGCATTTCTTTCAGCTCAATCTCTTCTTGCTTTTCTTTCACTTCTTTTTCATTTTTCTTTGATTTCTTTATTCCCCTCACTGCCTTTCCTCTTCATCTCTTCTTCCTCCACTCCATTACTTTTCCCTTATTTTGTTGTCATGCAAAAATTAAGATGGTGTGTACATACTGTATGATGCATAACACTTCTCACAAAGCTGCACAGACACTACATGTCAATCCTAAGTAGCGTACACAACATACAATTATTCTTGCAGAAATGATAAACCATTTTGAGTATGATGCTAAGTTTTTCAATCTATCAATATTTTTACTCAGATCTTTAGCAGTTATGTAAAATGCATGTCTGTTTCTTTCCAATATAAAATCCAAATAGTACATTTATACAAATTATATATATTTTCCTAACATCTCTAATGGATCCAACATTGACAGGATATAAGCTTTATCTCCTTTCAGATTAGTTTCACATCAATTTGGGCCTAAAAACTATCATTTTTTTTATAATTTTCAAACTTTTCCCTTATAAACAGCATAACTTTGTATCACAAGCACACTTTTTTGATGAAATTAAATATTCTTACATCACTAACTATAATTACACCACTTCTGTGCAAGGTTGGTTAAAATATTTCTACATTTAGGCAACCAAACATTTCCTTAATTGAATTGGGATTAAATTTAATGTCTACTATAGTACAGTTGATTTGGTGAGTTAATTCTCTGCTGCAATCAGAATTTCAAATATTTCTAAAAAAGTAGTTATAACACAGGAAAAGAAAATCATTGTTACTGTTTATTAACTATTTTATTTAATACAGTATCTATCAGACATTTAAAATAAATTTGGATAAAAAGTCAAAACAAACTTGGAGAAGTTCCAGATAAAACCAAAAAATAAACTTGACATGAAATCTATCAAAAAGCCTACATGTTTCATTATGAGTCCATATTATGTTATAATTTGTCATTATTAAATAAAGAAATGACTGCCTGCAAAGAAATATTGCATCATTTGTAATCATTCTTTAGGTTATGCATTATTTGATCAATTAAGACTAAAAAGTACTAAAGATAGTAAATATCTAAGTCTTTAAACTTAGTTGACCACGAATAGTTATCAATAAGATAACCTTACTTTACAAAAATTGCTATTACAAGTGAAGAAAAATCTTCTGAAATCAACAGTTTTTTCAATTGTTGTTTCTAAATTGAATAGCTTATAGCCAACTTTGTCAATCTCCATTTTAACTTCTTTGCATATTTTCCTTCTGCTCCAAGGATCAATCCTTCAGAATGTCATAGACAAATTTATTTTTTCCAATCTGTCATCACTGAATGGACAAATTTGTGTTAATTCTTAATAAATTTAAACTAAAAAAAAAGGCATGAAATATTCAGCACTTGTAAAAAAAAAAATAAGCTAAATTCAGTTTCTGTTTGTTTTTTTTTTCTTGGTATTTAAGCCTAACATCATTTCAGTTTAAAAAATCAAACTATTTAGTTTTTTTGGTTTTTCTCCTAGATTTTCAATTTTGCTTTTATTATTTTGAATCTTCTTAAGCATGTCTTTGCCTATGACCTCCAACTCGACAAGAATTCTACTTGAATCTCTGTCTCTATATATTTACATTTCACTTGATACTATTCTTCTCCAAAGTCATAAACATACTTCAGTTTAAAAGGCTATACATGTATGTAGATTTTTCTATGGTACATAAAATTGTTTAGG